ATTGCATTTCTTTGGGATTGGAATAAAAACTGACCTTTTCCTGTCCTGTGGCCACTGCTGAGTTTTCCAAATTTGCTGACATATTTGAATTCAGCACTTTCAAAGCATCATCTTTTAGGATTTGAAATAGTTCAACTGGAATTCCATCACCTCTACTAGTTTTGTTCATAATGATGCTTCCTAAGGCCCACTTGACTTCACATTCCAGGTTGTCTGGTGAGTATGAGTGATCACACCATCATGATTACCTGGGTCAAGAAGATCTTTTTTGTACAGTTCTTCTGTGTATTCTTGCCACCTCTTCCTAATAGCCTCTATTTCCATTAGGTCCATATCATCTCTGTCCTTTACTGAGCCCATCTTTGCATGAAGTGTTTCCTTGGTATCTCTAATTTTCTTGAAGAGATCTCTAGTCTTTCCCATTCTGTTGTTTTCCTCTATTTCTTTGCACTGATAGCTGAGGAAGGCTTTCTTTTCTCTCCTTGCTATTCTTTGGAACTCTGCATTCAAATGGGTATATCTTTCCTTTTCTCCTTTGCCTTTCACTTCTCTTCTTTTCACAGCCATTTGTAAGGCCTCCTCAGGCAGCCATTTTGCTTTTTTGCATTTCTTTTTCTTGGAGATGGTCTTGATTCTGGTCTCCTGTACAATGTCATGAACCTCCGTCACAGTCTGTCAGTCACTCTGTCTATCAGATCTAGTCCCTTAAATCTATTTCTCACTTTCACTGTATGTGGGAGGAATGTCTTTTCCATCAGAGTCTATTACTAAGATGCCGAGACATGGACTTTTGCTCACCAAGGACTAGTGGGATTGTACCCCAGTGGGCTTTGAGTAAATTTAATCATTGAAAGCTCCCTCTGCTCTCCCAGCCTCAAAGACTTTAACAGTGGTTAGGACACCTCAGTGGGTTTCCTGAGTAAATGGCCTAAAATTTGAGGCAACCATATCAACTTGCTTGCTCAAACTTGCTTAAAGTTTTCAACTTCGGACAGAAGGCAAGCCCAAATTTAGCACTGCTGCTGCTATTACACACACATACACACACACACAGAAATTGCTGGCATTAATTGATCACTGCTATGTTCCAGTACTAATCTAAGCCCTAGAAGTCAGGTACAATCTTTTGACAGATATTCTCAGTGTCCTAAAAATTCCTGAGGCTAAAAACATTTAAGACCTTTGTGGTCTAACCCAGAAAGGAGATAAACCTCTAATTTTGTGCAGAACTCAAGACAAGATTGGCTAAAATAAAAGTGCTGAAAAGCACTATTCATGGTAACTTACACATGGAAATTAATCCATAGATGTTATTTATTATGATTATTTAATAATCCGCTCTAAATTAGTGCTTAAAAATCAAATTACATGTATTGCTCTAGAGGTATGCTTTTCTATGTGTTTGTGCTTATTCACCCCCTTTTTTTTTCATTCATTCATTAAGTATTGAGCATGTACAGTATCAACTGCTCTGTAAGGTAAGGTGTTGGGAATGTGTGAGAACGATGTGACCCCTGCCTTCATGGGGCTTACATCAGAGCGTGTGTGCTTGTGTTGTATGTATATATGGACATTTGTACACATGTATGTAGACATGTATACTGCAGCATGTGTGCATCGTGTCTGACTCTGTGCGGTCCTGTGTGCTGCGGCCCGCCTGCAAAAAATACTGGAGTGGACTGTCATGCCCTCCTCCAGGGGATTTCTTCCCGACCCTGGGACTGAACCCACGTTTCTTACATCTAAGCTGCTTTGGCAGGCAGATTCTTTACCACTAGCGCCACCTAGGAAGCTGTATACTGCGTACTGCAGAGAACTCACTTAAAATGAGGCATGACATACATTGTTAAATCCTTCAGAGTAGAGTCACCATCTATCTTGGCTTATTTTATATCTGGCAAACAAAGAGAAATGATCTCTATATAAGTTTTGAACTGTTACAGTAATTTACCCTCCTCCACCCGAGCTATGGAATGACTGTTGAATGGGATGAAATAGAGGTCAATTTAGGTGCTCGCAACTGTGTGCGTCAGAGAAGGACAGCTGAGATAAGGCAATCGGGATAGATGCCTCAATTCATAAATCACAATCCTTAACCAATTCACAGCTCACTGAAATCTCTGACCTGCCAAAATTGGGTTTGTCTTTCTGTATGAATAATTTATATTTTCTGGAATGATGTTGGAGATGGCTTAAAAGAAAGGGTCTATAACCAATGGTGTGATTTTAGGCAAGTTATTTAACTTTCTGGGGTGTGTTTCCATTTCAACAAAATGAAAAGAGTGAATTCTATGATTTGGAAATAATTTCTATGTTTTTTTTTTATTCTAAGTTTTATAACTGTGCTTGGAGTTATTGTACTAGCTCTGAGATTTACTGTCCATAATTTGTGTGATGCCAGTAATTGCTTGACCTAATGGTTAAATCGAAGGTAATGCTCTCCTTGTTTATCAACAAGTTTATATTTTAAATATTCCTAAACTGTATGGTTTCCAGTTATATAATACATATCCCTTATTTCCTCTTCAGCTACTGCATCCATATAACCAAGCTCTGTAGGAGAACACAGCCTATAAATCCATAAGATCTGAGTTCCTGTCTTTTTCTTCCATTACTGGTTGTTTAAACATTCCATGTTAACTCTCAGTTTCACCTAACAAGTCTAAAACTCAGTTTCCTCATTTGCTTGAAATTTGTTGAATGCTTTGGGTTTATGGATTTGTTTTCAACACATTTGGAAAAAATTAAACCATTATTTCTTCAAGTATTTTTGCCTTCTCCTTTACCTCTTGTTCTGGGACCAAGAATAAATACATATTAATTTATGTGTGATATGTGTGATATTATTATGCTTTATGCTTGATATATTGCCAAACATAACCCGATTCTCTCTATAAAGCCTTCTTCTCACTGTGTTTCATCATGAATAGTCACTATGTTAACACTGATCTTGTACAGAATCTCATCTGAAGTTAAGCCTGTTCAGAGCATTTTTCATTTCCGATATTTTTTTATCTCTAGGACAGTGGTCAGTAAACTATTTATTGTCCATGGATCAACCACTCCTTTTGTGAAATAAGGTTTTATTGCCGCATAGTCATGCTCATTCTCTTATGTATTGTCTGTGGTTAGTTTTGTGAGAACTGAATGTTTGCAACAAACATTATATGGTCCATAAGCCTAAAATATTTACTATTCAGGCCTTTAAGAAAAATATAGCCAATCTTTGTGGAGCCAACCCTGCTCAGGAAGTTTAATTTGGGTCTGGCTATGGAGACACAAGTTACTTTCAGCCTGATTTGTACTTTAAGTCTTAATGTGTGATTCTTCTCTCTGGCCATGGGAAGTTTATTCTTATATATAAGCAGGTAAAGGTCTATATGGTCAAAGCTATGGTTTTTCCAGTTGTCATGTACGGTTGTGAGAGCTGGACAATAAAAGAGGCTGAGTGCTGAAGAATTGATGCCTTCAAATTGTGATGCTGGAGAAGACTCTTGAGAGTCCCTTGGACAGCAAAGACATCAAACCAGTTAATCCTAAATGAAATCAACCCTGAATATTCATTGGAAGGACAGATGCTAAACCTGAAGCTCCAATACTTTGGCCACCTGATGCAAAGAGCCAACTCATTGGAAAAGAACCTGTTGTTGGGAAAGATTGAAGACAGGAGGAGAAGGGGATGAGAGGATGAGATGGTTGGATGGCATCATCGACTCAATGGACATGAGTTTGAACAAACTCCAGGAGATGATAAAGGACAGGGAAGCCTGGTGTGCTCCAGTCCACGGGGTCACAAATAGTCGGACACGACTGAGCAAATGAACAACAACTTGGTCAAAGCCTTAGGGGAGCCCCCTGCAGATCTCTGAAGTTCCCTCTATTTAGCTCCTGCCTTGATAGTACTCTACCCTCCAAATTCTAGTCATCTTTGCCCCTCAAACACTGACTCTGCTTCCTCAATTCATTGAGGCCGCTAGGCTCTGTTAGGGCTTTCACTTCCTGACCAGTGGCCTGAAAACTGCCTGCAGCTAATGAGTTCCAGCAATCAAGTCTCCCGTGGTGCACTTCTCTCTCTGTGACTACAGTCTGGTGCTGCTTGATTTCCATTGGCTGTCTCCTGTTTTACCATGATGGCTACCTTTTTTGATCCGATTTTCTAGTTGTTGTCAAGCAGAAAGCAGAAAACAACACCTAATCCTCTTTACTCCATTTCTATCTGAACATAAAACCCCTTCACACTGTTTCTTGGTTGACAATGTTCCAAAGAGTTAAGATCACATGACCTTTGAATAAGTATAATGTCAATTTTGCAATCTTTGTAGCACAGTGGTTCTAACTTTATATTTAAAATCAAGAAGTCAACTGAGTACCAAGTATCTGCAGGGAATTAAGCATCTGGCAGGCTTTCCAGGTGGCTCAGTGGGTAAAGAGTCCACCTGCAATGCAGGAGACGAAGGCAGAGGCGAGTTCGATCCCTGGGTCAGGAAGATTCCCCTGGAGGAGGGCATGCAACCCAATCCAGTGTTCTTGCCTAGAGAATCCCATGAACAGAGGCGCCTGGTGGGCTACAATCCATACTGTAGCAAAGAGTTGGAGATGACTGAAGTGATTGAGCATGCATGCAAGCATCTGACAATCAATGATTTTTGTGAAATTATTTGCTACAAAGTCAAACTCAGGAGCTCAATCTTAACATTCTTTTGTTAATGCTTATCCCTATTGCACCCCAATGTTCATCAATATAGGTTCTACAAGTGATCAATTCTTTGTAATTTTCCAATGTTGGACATAATGAGAAATTGTAAATGCTTTTGTTGCATGCTTTAGTGTGAAGAAAATTAGCAATTGTTTTATGTTTGGTGAAGCAGTATATTCCAAATGCTTCTTAATTCCAGTATATATTGAAACATATTTTGTATTATTGAAATACATGGCTTTCCTTTAATTTATGAAGTGCTTGTAGAATCAAACTTTTATGCATGTAATCAGTCTTATGTGCATAAACTCCAGATTACTAAATTAAAACCCTGTGCTAAATTGCTGGGCTATCATTAGAACTTCCGTTCTTTATTCCCTTTGTGACATGTTACCAGGGAAAATTCATTGCTTAGAATAATAATGAGCTTGAGACAAATTTAGCTTTTGAAGCTGATTAATGCCTTTCCCTGTTATGAACACCTGATATATAAACCACTTTTGCTCCCCTTTAGAAGCAAATTTTAACGTCCATTTTTCTATGAATTCCTACTTATTAAGTGTTAGGATATGCTAATTTATCTTTAAAATGTTAATTTATATCTCAGGATGCAAATGTACTGGAGCTGGTAAAATATGAAACCATATGTGAGATGATTATATAAATGTGCCACTGACTATAATTACTCAAGTTTTATGAGTCAGATGAACTAAAACCATCACAGAGATAGTTTTAGAAGGAATGATTCTTCCACCTTTATATGTTCAGGGTACATATTTTTCAAGATGTAGTGAAAGGTTTTTGAATGTGTCGTGACCTTTACTGTCTTTATCATCATAAGCATGCTTGTACACAGCAACAAATGGAAACCAGTCCCAGAATTTATATTATTGAGATAAAACAATTTAAGGTGAGTTTGTGTGCTCCAAGTTGCTAATAATGCTTTTTATCTATAAAATGTATATAGGACTTACTTTGGGTGAGATGGCAGGTTTCTAATGAAGATATCAGAAGTGAATTTGTTAGAAGCAATCATGTTAATAACAAAGATAATTATGGGGTTCTTTGGCTAACTGGATAACATTTACAATAATGATAATCTGAAAGATGACATTATGTCAAAAGATCTGTTAAAAATATGTAACAGTTATGAATAGATGTTTGATGGATAGGAAAATAGAAGAATGCCTAAGTACTACCTGGCTGTAAATTGCTTATCTATTGTCAAATGACACAAAGAGATCTGTGAAAAAGCAAGACCTCAGAGTTGGTGGAGCAATTGGAGTCGAATGATATCACAGATATGATATAGAGACTGTCCCCCGATTCTGGGTATGTCACAACTCAAAACAAGAGCAAGCTACTCAGATTTCAAGACAGTGGAAGTACAATAAGATCTATGGAGTTATTTAATTTTAATTTTATTATTTATTATTATTTTATTACTTCAGACAAGCTCTTACAGGAAGGTGGTGAAAGAGTTAAAGTTTTCGAGGAGAACGTTTTCTAAATAGAATCATTCTGTTTTTATAAAACTTACTAACAGTAAATACTAAAAACTTGATACTTAACCACATTAAGTTCTTCATTTCAGTAATTTCAGCAAAGTCAGAAGTTTGAATTACCCCTCATTTTTGTCAGTTGAGTCTTTACACCATGTTCAGTGTATATGATTCAATGCATTTTCAGAACTGAAAATTAAAATTAAAATATGACTTTAGGCCCTTTATTTTTAGGAATGAAAAAATACCAAGAAAGGGGTTTAAATGTCAAGTATAGAAATATCTTTCTAGTAAAATGAAATATTTCAGCTTTCCCAAATGCTTTGCTTAATCAATTTAAAGTAGTAGACTAGCTTAGATCATATGCTTAATTGTGGCATTCTAAAATTTTTTGGAAAAAGTTAAACTGAAAATGGCATTCCATTATGTGTAAATTGTATAGAATTAAATTTTTTTTTTTACTCTTTTGTGGTTTGTGAGGATTTTTCACATACATTTTTAAATATAATTTTTATTATAAGTCAAGTGACAGATATGACTTACATATATTTGCTTTTGTCAAATATCTTTATCAAGTATCACAGTTATATAAATGAAATTTAAAGCTAATTCTTTTTTAACTTGACATCCACTGCTCTGGTTACCTCACCTCTATTCTAATAGCGTTAATAAAAAGAAAATGCTGGAGATATAATCCTTCTATTGTCCTTCTTTTGTTTGGTTTTCTTTACATTTGCTTTTAACTGAGATTTCTGAAATGTGACCAGAACTCAGTAGGTGGCGCTAATGAGACATAAAATATTGACTTGAACCAGTCCATCCTAAAGGAAATCAGTCCTGAATATTCATTGGAAGGACTGATGCTGAAGCTGAAACTCCAATACTTTGGCCACCTGATGCGAAGAACTGACTCATTGGAAAAGACCCTGATGCTGGGCAAGATTGAAGGCAGTAGGAGAAGGAGATGACTTGAGATGGTTGGATGGCATCACCAGCTGGATGGACATGAGTTTGAGCAAGCTCCAGGAGTTGGTGATGGACAGGGAAGCCTGGTGTGCTGCAGTCCATGGGGTCGCAAAGAGTGAGACATAACTGAGTGACTGAACTGAAGTGAACTGACTGAATTGCCAGTTAAGATGCATCGCAGGTTATAGTGTTTTTTTTCTGTAGTGTTAAATCGCTCAGTCGTGTCCGACTCTTTGCAACCCCATGGACTGTGGCCCGCCAGGGTCCTCTGTCCATGGGATTCTCCAGGCAAGAATACTGGAGTGGGTTGCCATTCCCTTCTGCAGGGGATCTTCCCCACCCAGGGATTGAACCCGGGTCTCCTGCATTGCAGGCAGATTCTTTACCGTCTGAGCTACAGGGAAGATCCAAAAGTTGCTCAAAAAAAAAGAAGATCCAAAATGTTGTGTCCGATTCTTTGTGACCCCATGGGTTATACAGTCCATGGAATTCTCCAGGCCAGAATACTGGAGTGGGTAGCCTTTCCCTTCTTCAGGGGATCTTCCCAACCCAGGGATCCAACCCAGGTCTCCCGCATTGCGGGCGGAATCTTTACCAGCTGAGCCACAAGGGATATTGCAGGTTTAGT